GGAAATTTGTTTTAGTCAAAACCGATTTTGTGGGTGAAAAACAAGTTTTGAAAATCCACATCTGAATCCTCCGATCATTTAGATTTATTGACACATTTTTATTTTTTTATTTTTTATTTTTTTCAGATCAGAAAACTAATTTTAAATCAAAGAAAATCAGAGTAATTACATATTACAGGTTTAAATTTTTATTTTATTTAATAAACAGAAAACAGGCTATTCAGACCACTTTGAGCCACATGGGAAGGTTCTCCAGCATGAACAATCAAAGGTCAGACATTCTTCTTCCCTCTGCTGTTAGAGAGCAGAATTCATGTTTTCATCAGTACAGCGAGTGGTCCTGAAGCTCCACACCATCACAACACCACCACCATGTCTGAGTGATGTTGTTAGTGTTACTGCTGATGTAACGGGACACACACCTTCCTGGAAATTCTACAGGGTGGTCCATTTATGTGGATACACCTTAATAAAATGGGAATGGTTGGTGATATTAACGTCCTGTTTGTGGCACATTAGTATATGTGAGGAGGCAAACTTTTCAAGATGGGTGGTGACCATGGTGGCCATTTTTAAGTTGGCCATCTTGGATCCAACTTTTGTTTTTTCAGTAGGAACAGGGTCATGTGACACATCAAACTTACTGGGAATTTCACAAGAAAAACAGTGGTGTGCTTGGTTTGAACGTAACTTTATTCTTTTACGAGTTATTTACAAGTTTCTGACCACTTATAAAATGTGTTCAGTGTGCTGCCCATTGTGTTGGATTGTCAATGCAACCCTCTCCTCCCACTCTTCTTACACTGATAGCAATGCCGCAGGAGAAATGTCAGCACAGGCTTCCAGTATCCGTAGTTTCAGGTGCTGTACATCTGGTATTTTCACACCAAAGACAATTGCCTTCAGATTGACCCCAAAGATAAAAGTCTAAAGGGGTCAGATCGGGAGACCTTGGGGGCCATTCAACTGGCCAACGATGACCAATCCACTTTCCAGGAAACTGTTCATCTAGGAATCCTCGGACCTGCCATAATGTGGTGGTGCACCATCTTGCTGGAAAAACTCAGGGAATGTGCCAGCTCCAGTGCATAACGAGTATCATTTTGTCATCATCATGTAGCAATTTCAATTATCCAGTGGCCTTGAGGTTTCCATTGATGAAGAATGGTCCCATTATCTTTGTACCCCATATACCACCAAACCATCACTTTTTTGTTCCAACAGTCTTGGAAGGAACTGTACAATGTGGGTTAGTGTCAGACCAATAGCGGTGGTTTTGTTTGTTAACTTCACCATTCACATAAAAATTTGCCTCATCACTGAACAAAATCTGCGCGAACTGAGGGTCCGGTTCCAATTTTTGTTTTGATCATTCTGCAAATTCTGTGCACCGATCTGGGTCATCCTCATTGAGATGTTGCAGTAGCTGGAGTTTGTAAGTGTGCCATTTATGAGTAGCTAATTTCTGCCAAAGAGATGTTCGACTAATGCCACTCTCCAGTGACATGCGGCAAGTGCTACGCTGTGGGCTCTTGCTGAATGAAGCTAGGACAGCCACTGATGTTTGTTCATTAGTGACAGTTTTCATCCATCCACATTTTGGCAAATCCAACACTGAACCAGCTTCATGAAACTTAGCAGCAGTTTGCTAACTGTACCATGGGAGATGGGTGGTCTCATAGGGTATCTTGCATTGAAATCTGCTGCAATGACCCGGTTACTGTGTTCACCAGATATCAACACAATTTCGATCTGCTTCTCACGTGTTAACCTCTTCGACATATCAATGGCTGTGAACAAAGAGAAACTTGTAAATAACTCATGAAAGAATACAGTTGCATTAAAACCAAGCACACCACTGTTTTTCTTGTGAAATGACCAATAAGTTTGATATGTCACATGAGCCTCATCCTATTGAAAAAACAAAAGTTGGATCCAAGAGGGCCAACTTCAAAATGGCCACCATGGTCACCACCATCGACATATAAATATTGGACAGTGGGTTTCCATAGACTCCAATAACACATTTTTGAAGATAAATGGGAGGTGGCCACCACCGCCATTTTAACCTTGTCACAGGTTCCGTCAAGCCCAGACAATTCCACAAAGGGAAGAGAGGTGGAGCTGAGGGTGGGGCTGTAAGGCTGGGATCAACTGACGACACCCGGTCTAACTAGCTACGAGCTAACCTGAAGCTAACCCAAAGCTAACGCGGAGGTGGGAGCTAAGCTAACGGAGGTAGCAACCTAGCTACAACCGGAGTTAACTGTGCACAACACCAGAGCTTCTGAGTCAGAGATCACGCGGCCACGTGGGTCGGATGCTCATTAATTATACAGAATTTTAGGCTTTTAATACACTTAAACAGAAGAGTGAGAAAAAAATTCACCCCCTCAGAGCTGTCATGAGTGTAAACTAGATAATTTAAACCAAAAACATGTTTTGGTACCAGGCTGTAAACACGTTTATTTCTGCTGTGAAATTGGTATTTTTAACATGGGAGTCGATGAGGATTTGCTCGCTTCTGACACCAGCCCCTAGTGGATGAGGGTGGAACTGCAATTTTTGGTACTTCCGGGATTGCTTCAATTTTTGAGCCGCATTGTGGGGGCTTGGTCACCACCCATCTTGAAATGTTTGCCCCTTCACATACTGTATACTAATGTGCCACAAACAGGACGTTAATTTCACCAACCATTCCCATTTTATTAAGGTGTATCCATATAAATGGCCCACCATGTACTTAGGTCTCCTCAAATCACAAAATATTTTCCCAAAAATCTTGGGGATCATCAAGATGTATTTATTTATTTACATGTTTTTTTATTTGTTTATTTATGGGAGGAGGGGGGAGGCACATTTTTTCCACATGGAAGCAAGCTGGAGTTGGTTCAGAATGCTGAAAAGTGCATTTTTGTATTTACTCTAGTTATTCTTGTCTGATACTGAAGTTTGTTTGATGATCTGAAGCTTTTAAGAAAACCTGAGGAAAAATAGTTTTGGTGTTTTAACGCCACTGTAAAATATGGAGTTTGTCCCTGCAGTGTTTCCTTCATCAGCCTTTGGGAACATGTAAGATGGTATAATATTAACTGAACAGACGGATATAGAAATTTTTTAGGACAAGTAATAAAAATAGGCACAAATACATTAGAACGAGTTTGACCCCACATCCAGCTGTTTACTGAAACACATCCAGGTTCTGATGAGGAAAACGTACCTGGTTCTTCTGACCTGCTGTTCAGATGGACGTTTTTTTTCAGAACTTCCTGTGATAGAGGCCTTTGATGTGGATAGAGGTTTTGAGCTGAGTTTAGTTGACATTTACTTCTTGGATCCTACAGCAGGAGGCAGGACAGGACCTGATGTACAAAGAGCTTCTAACGTAGCTCTCTGCTCTATAGCGATTAGCAGCAGTTATGCTCTGGTTTGAGGAAGTGGAGACCACAGAAAGGAAGAACCAATCTGACCTCTAATACCTTCTGCTATATAAAGGATGTATCAGTTTACAATATAAATAATGTTCATCTTCACCAGTATTGATTTTTAAGGTCTTTGTGTCTTTTTAAATATGAACTCATATTTGCGCTGCTTTTGCTGCAAACATGCAGAAACCTTCACTAAAGGCAATGTCAAAGCAGTTGTTTACACCTTCAAACGTGTCTGGGTCCGTGTGGTGAGGCAGGCCTGCAGCTCCAGTCCTGCCCTCTGACATCTGTTGACAGCTGTCTGCACAGGTTTGGGTCCCTCTGATGCACTGATGGACCCGAGCATCTGCAGCATCGTTGTTGCTCAAGGAAAACAAGATCTGCGGCGGTGCAGCTTGTTTGTAAAGCACAAAATTACATGAGTTTAATCTCACTGTTTATAGAGTGGACAGTAAGTGAAGCTGTAACATCAGATGTTCTTCCTGCTCAGGATCAGAGTCCAGAACCTTCATGCAGCAGGTAGACAACATGAGTGGGAGCATCTCACAACAACCCTGTGGGATGTTGTGGCTCAGAGTCTTTTCCAGAGGCTGTGCAATATAAGCTCTCAACTGGGATTGTGCTGAGTGTCCTGGGAGGGAGGGAGTTCAACAGAGGTAAGGAGGCACTGTCGTTGCTAGGCGTCGACAATCAGGAAGGCTTATTTGTTTTTGGTCCTGTTCCTCCTCTGTGATTGTCTCAAAGCATAGTGCACCACCGCTGTCAGCCATAGAGGGCAGTCATACTGTACACGCTGTTCTTCTATAGTACACACACACACACACACACACACACACACACACACACACACACACACACACACACACACACACACACACACACACACACACACACACACACACACACACACACACACACACACACACACACACACACCAGAATGGCCCAAATAATCCTTTTTAATACCCTTCTGCACTTTCCTGATCTGAGATTGGATGGTAATGATGTTGGTACTGTTTGTGGCAGCTGATTGGTCTGGCCCACTGTGCAGCCAGTAAGGGTTTGACAAGTCCAGCCTCCAGGGAGCCTGTGTGGCATAATGACCCATGACGAGGCAAAGCGCTGTCCCCGTGTCAGCTTGCAAAAAACAGAGAGTCTAAGAGAGGTGCTGCAATCCAACTGGGAGCGTAAACCAGGGGGTGATGCCAGAGGACCTCGCATGACCTTGCCAGCTTCAATCATGGATGCTCATCAGTGGTGGTTAGGTGAGCAGGCAGTGTGTTGGAGCTTGTTCCTGAAAGCATTCACTGACAGGATTGTCTGTGACTGCTGAGAATAAGACAGAGAATGACCACTTCTGATCTAAGAAGACCAAAGGCATCCTGGACAGGGAGCGCTGCTCAATGCTGCTGCACACTGCACTGCCTCTGCACCCCTGCATGCTTGAATCTGTGTGACTAAGACTGTGCGTGTGTGCAAGTGTGTGCGTGTGTGTGTGTGTGTGTGTGTGTGTGTGTGAGAGAGAGAGAGAGAGAGAGAGAGAGAGAGAGAGAGAGAGAGAGAGAGAGAGAGAGAAAGTGAGGAAAAAAGGAAGGGGGCGTGTTGATGTGTGTGCTCTGCTGCACAGCCTCGGTAGCTGAGCTGAGCGATGCTCTCTGCCTCTCTCCTTCTCTCTCTCCTTGAGCCGCCTGGCGGTGCCTCTTTCTGCCAAGCTCTGATGAACCATTTTATGCAACATAGCTGCCACAGCCATCGTCCTGGTTCTGCTGCCGGCTGCTTTTCTGTCCATGCTGTACAGTAGGACTCAGCTGCTTTTTCATCGGCACTTTCTGCAAAGGTAATGTACCGTCTACTGTCTGCTGTCAAGCTGTGTGTTTTACTGATTGTTGTACTGACTGCTGCATGCTCCCATTGCTGCTGCTGCTGTAGGCAAAAAAGGTGATCAGAACATTTCATAGTGGTGAAGGTAATTGAAATGCACCCTGCTGCCTCTCACACACTCGTATGAATTTCTTCAGAGATGAATGAGCCTGTTTTCAGCTGTTCTGCACTGGAGAGCACCGTTAACAGTCCAGAGAGGAGCAAGAGGACATTAGGCATCGTTTGCATGCATTAGGAATTCATAGCCTTGTTTTTATGTTGTTTCAGCCTCCTGTCTGGAGAGAAAACATCCTGCAGCATGTTCAATTAATAGGCTACTTAGTTACCACAGTGTGTTTAACATCCATTTATTAAATAGCGTGATTTGGAGATTTGATCTTGTGTCTCTTTCTGCTGCTGAGCCTTGATTGGGCAGAGAATAAAAATGTCTGTAGAATTTGCTTGAATCTGTCAACTGAGAGCTGGAGAAAAGTCAGAATGTGTTGTGATCTGAAATCCATAAATTAGCTCAAATGGATGTTTTTAATGACTGTGGAGGATATGTATTAACAGCCTGTCATCAATAATTCAACAAATTAAAGTGTTAAAGGTGTGTGTGTGTGTGTGTGTGTGTGTGTGTGTGCGCGCGCGCGTGTGTGTGTGTTTGCGCGTGAGCGTGTGTGTGTGTGAGATTAATGCTGTGTGATGATAAAAGCCTTTTAAGGATCAAGAGTCCATCTGAAACATTCTGCCGGTTGCTTCAGAGCTGACTTTGCAGCCACACAAGCTCCTATAGGTGGCAGTCAGGGGAGTAAACTAGAGCGAAACAGATGATCAGGACTGGACTCTGATTCTCTTCAGTGAAATGATATTCAGTGTTTTTCATGTTTGAACAAGCACAAGGCGGGTTTCCGACGCCTCCCAAGGCCAATCTCTTTAAGAGCTTTCATAATTAGACCTGTCAGGCTCGTCTCACACCTTCTGATATGAGGGAGTACTCGGGCGCTAAACTCCCATTCATACTGTAGCTCATCCTGCCCACCTTGACAAGCAGGCACGGCCATTCATCATTCCACTGGTTATCCCTGGGCTGCCGGCGAGTCACTTTTATCTTCACTATGCACAGAAGACAAGTATTCATCTTTCAGAGCCTAAATGTGTTGGCTCTCCAGTGAGACAGAGGCGCTGTTAGTGAGGAGAGGGTGTGGTTTGGGTGCATACAGGGGCATAGCTAGGGACATCCAGTCCCTAGCTATGACTAGTTTTCTGTTATAGCTAAGCAAATGATAAGAAATCTGGTGTTTGGAGGATGTTATTAATCAAGGAGCTCCAATAATCACACACTCTGCATATCTGATGAAGGCAGATGTTCATTTATTCAGGATTAATTTAGTTGTCTTTACTGCTAGAGAACCAGAGGTTGTAGATCAAAACCCCAAATAATAAAGAATGTCAGTTTATGTCGTGTGAAAAAACAAATGAGTCACTGGACTCCAGAGGATGGTTTAAAAGCACTGAAGAAAACCAGATCAAACATAAATGTGACATTTGTGTGGAGGTCATTCTTGGACTTTGTGCATAAACGTTAATCATTCATCCACTGAAGACAAATCAGACTGGCTAAACCTTACTCTTGAACCAGAGTAACTCCAGTGATTAATCAGCTATAGATGCACACGTATTGATTACTGTCTGAGAGTTTCACCACAATCCTTGTGGTGCTTCATGAAATAATTAGCTAAGTCTGGCAGCAGATTTTAGCTCAGCATCTTTAAAATCAGCAAATTTGTCTCATTTCCTGGAGATTGTTGTTTACTTGACAAACAAAACAAGCTGGGTCTTCCTGTCTCTCTTATTACTTCTACCATCGATGTGGTTGAGATAACTTTCAGAGATTTTATTTAGCATCTGTCAAACTTTTCATATTGAAAATGTTCAGAGTCTGTTTTGTGAATTATGCCAAGCTATATGATATCTGGTTTTTGCTGAATATCTTTGAAATTACCCAGAATGTACTCATCTAGCATCTTCTATTAGCTGTGGTGGCCATCTTGAACCAGGCTGACTGCAAGTGCAGTAGTTGTATATCCGATTACTGCTCTCTGAGAGTTTTATGTAAATCTGCTCATTAACATATAAAAATATTAGCAAACAAGCAAACTCCACTCACCTCTTATCTCGGTCTAGGTCATCCCTGTCAGAGAAGCCCATAGCATCTGCTCCTCAGTCACCAACCAGCTCCTCAACTGGACCCAGAAGCCTTCCCAGGCCTCTGGAGATACAATCTCTCCAGTACATCCTGGGTTAATCATGGGGTCTCCTTCTGGCAGGACACCCACACAACACTTCCCCTGAGAGGCTTCTGATGGCCTGTATCCAGCAGCCCTACTCTACCAAAAATGCGTAGGTTAACACACCTCGCCTCAGTGTGGTTGGCTTTCCCCACCAACTCCGTGACAAAAAGATACTCTTGCGGGTACGCTCTGCATAGTGCTCGGGGAGGGGAGGGGGGCATCACAATCAACACAAATGTAGTGCGAGGTGGTCTGTTTGCCACTCAAAACCACAGCACAGCACAACAACTGTAATGTTTCACATTCTGCTCAGTCGCTGGCTTTTTGTCAGACTTTGAACCAAGAAATGGCAGCAGGCAGTTAGGCAGCAGGCAGAAAGCTCTGAACTCCTTCCCCAAACTAATAAGTGATTGAAAGTCCCTGATGTTGTGTTTTTGGACCAGCTCAGCGGGCTAGGAACCACAACAAAGCCGGTACTGAAAAGTTACAGAACAATTGTTTGGAAAAGGCTGTCAAACTGAACCCCATCCATCCGAGTCACGCAGAGTAGTGCTGTTGGGAAAACCAGTACGGGACATCCTGACAAAACCCCTAAACCATTGTAGCTGGCTCCTGTCGATGTGGAAGAGCAACAGTGCTAGTCTCTTCTTGATGTCCGAACTCCCCTGCCTATCTCTAAACCCTGTCATGGTCTGTTGAATGAACCTTATTGGATTCATGATCTGGTTCTTTAGTTCACCACCCAAAGCTCATGGCCAAAGATGAGGGTGGGACTGTTGATTGACCTGTTAATGAAGAGCTTTGCCTTAGCTCCCTCCCTCCACAACAGACTGGTTAAGCATCACTGCAGATTCAACATGAAGTTGGAGCTCCACCCTTTTCTGGATGAGAAACATAGTCTTGATTTGGAGGTGCTGACCTTCATCTCAGCTGCTTCACATTCGGCTATGAGTCTCCCCCGTAAGAGCTGGAAGTCACAGCTTAATGCAGCTAAGAGGACCACATCATCCAAACAAAGAACAAACAAGATTGTTCTGTCACCAAACTCAACACCACTGGGAAGCACAGGGGTTTGGAGGTCACCCTGAAATTGTTGGGTTGCTAGTTTGAACCCATGCTCTGTCAGTTCTTGTGTCCTTGGGCAAGACATTTCATCCCACTTGCCTGCTGGTGGTGGTCGGAGGGACCGGTGGCACCTGTGTACGGCAGCTCCACCCCAGGGCAGCTGTGGCTATGATGTGGCTCATCACCACCAGGGTGTGAATGACTGACTGTGGTGTAAAGTGCTTTGGAGTTCTCTGACTTGGAGATGGACGAAACGAGTCATTTGTCATTTACCAAATTCTGTCTATGAAAGACTCAAACAGAGCGAGTGGCCAACCAGAGCAGGCAGGCACGCACAAGCACACACACACTCTCACACACTTACACATGCACATACACACACATATATTTTGTTAGTCGTTGATCAAATGAAACAAGAACATGAAACGAAAGAAAAGCCTTTGAAGATATTTTTTCAGATTTATGATCAAACTGGAAAAGTTATCTTGAACTGTTTTGTGAAATGATGCTCTTGGTTGGTCTTAGTGTAAGTCCCAGAACTGCAGTGTGTGTATGATGTCGTCAGACACTGAGCCGTGTTGAGTGAAGTGCCTCCTGTGCCGGTGGTGTGAGACACATGGAGCTGAACATGGCTGCTCAGCAGAGGGTTAGCGGAGTGAGAAGGGCACGGCTCAGCGTGCTGCTGACTGACTGAAGCTAGGCTGTAGTAACAGCTGGAACACTGACTCTGCTGGCGCCTGGACGTGGCCTGAATAAAGCACATGACTCTGCCACAGTGTGAGGCATTAGTGATATGAGCAGCAGGGTCCATCCACGGCCGCTGTTACATAACATCGTCTTCACTGGGAAATCTCTAAAGATGGCTGGAGGAGACGCTGTGACAGCAGAGGGAAAGTGCACTATGATTGTCAGCGTCCACATCGCTGGCGCTGGATATTAGGCCGTCCTGTGCCTCACAAAGCAAGCCTCTAATGTGTCCTCAGGTTATTTCCATTAAATGGTTGTAAGTTTTCTTGCCAAGCCTTCAGATTAGATTCTGTCTGCTCACACACTCTGTTTGTGGACATGTTTTTTCCTCTACGTGTGTGAGCATTTGACTCTGTCTCGTTGCATAAGCATGTGTGCATTCATCTCGAGGTTGTATCAAATAGTTCCCACAGCTCAGATGTAACCAAAGTAGATCTGTAGCTGCCATCGGGTCGACAGATTGACTGCTGTGGTGCAGGCTGGCTGCTGACATCGCTGCAGGTTAGAGCAGCGTAATCAAGTCAGAAATCAGGCTGCATTCATAATTGACCATTCGTGGAGTTGATTGGGCTGTTAACTCATTCCGATGTTAGCACTGCTTTAGTGTGAACAGACTGAGATCAGATCAGCTGGAGGTCAGTCGTGCATGTTGGTGCTATGGACGTGGTTTAGCCGGACTTGTCAGCCCTGAGACAGACATTAGCCGTCATGATTTGTGAGACAGACCAGATAACTGGGCTTTATTTAGTTTGCATAAGATGGTCAGAACCCACAGAAAGATTTGGGCTACAACACCTCTCAGTCACATACTCAGCGACAGGAGCAGAAATAAGGTGTTGGCTGCCAAGTGATAACTAATCACAGATTGTGT